TTTCCCTCATAAGCAGGGCGAGCTTGAACGAGTTCATTTTCCTGATTATACTCACTCATTCAGACGGCACCTCAGTGGTTGTTCCTCCCCACCCTCATCCTCTGCATCTGTCAGATCACTGCGGATGCTGATAACGCTGGGCGTGGGGCTCCCGTCAGTGTCGGCCATCAGAACCGCCACATCTCGCTGCCTGAGCAAGTCCGACTCTCTATTAGCGTTCGTCGCCACCTCTTTGAAGCAGCTCACTTCCTCCTCTGCATCATCATCATCCTCATCTGTGTTTTGAACTTCCGGTTGCCTGGTTTCCACTAAAGGCACCTCCCTTTGAGGCTGCTCCCTTCCTGCCACTGCCTGTTCAACAGCATCAGCCATTTTGGGGGTCCGACATCCAGTGATGTGGACGTTGCTGGAGTGAGACAGGTTCCTTTAAACAGAATTATTTCATAAATGTTTAATATATCAGTGAGAGAGGATTTAAAATCCAAAGATGTGCACAAGGAGCAGAAGCCAACCTGTTGTGACTGTGCCTGTTCCTTTTATTGGTTGGCTGTGGCCACACAACGTGCGCTATGCCGATGTTGATCGGCTGATGGGCCGAGAGCGCTGGCATCTGATTAGTCAGAAGAGGTTGTTTGATCACTGCGTTATAGTGGCTGTTGTGTGGACGCACTTTCCTGTTACAGATTTTAAGAGTAAAGGGTGTAAGAGAAACACGAAGCTCCATATTTTGGGTAAAAGCATAAAGAGAACAGAAAACATGCTGTGACATGATAAGAAAAACAGTTACAACTCATGACAAGAACTCCAATAATGATATTTCAACCCTGCTTTGCACATAATTTGGTAATTCCCAAAATGAATCTTATCATTTTTGCACACATGCCAATAAAGAAATTGACAGAAAAATGTTGACCAGTGCAAGTCTTGCAAGCAGGGACTTTCCCCAGACTTTAAGTCTTTGTGACTCACCCCCAGTCGCTGATTCGCTGAGGTCCAGCTGTGGTGTCGTTGGTTAGGGAGGATGGTGGTGGTGGTGGTGGGTGAGAGGGAGGAGGCCCTACTGGAGTCATCTGCTGCCAGGCTGCTGGGACAAGGAGCTGCTGCCCCCGGTTAGACCAGGCCTGCTACAGGGACAAAGGAGTCAAATCATAGATGTTATGTAATCTTCTTTGATCTCCATTGGTGTCAGAAGTGGTTTTTGAGGAACTGAAGCTTTTACTCAGTGACGCATCAGCAGTAGGGCGACGGGAGCTGAGAGTTACTCAGGGTGTGTCTGCCACTGCTTCTTTAACAGTTCAACTTATTGTTGCATGTACAGAGCTTACCTGAGCTATTACACCAGGCCTCACAGGTAAGGGTTGTATAGGAGGTGCCTGAGTTGCCATGGGGACAGAATAACCTGCTGGCTGATTAAGGTTGCCTTAAAAAAAACAGAAAAATTTAATTAAACTGTTACACAATAACTACATTTTATGCCATTTTGGTAAAGTTACTTTTTAGAAAATATAAAATGAATGTTGTGTAACTGCCAAAAGAAGCTATGAACAGTCGATATACCTTGCATGGTTGGAGGACAAAGAAGGAGGGCAGGGGGGAATGAGTCACTGCACCCAAACTGACCATTTCCGGTTGTCAGAGCTATCCCCGGATGCAACACTGATGGAGCCGACTGGGTGATAGCCTGCTTCAGGTACGTGTACACAGAGGCAACGGCAGAGCAGAGAGCAGTGAGTGATAGACAGAAATCAGGTGAGAAGGTAGAGGAGAAGAGAGGAAATGAAAAGGAGCGGTGACAAAGAGAGACACAACAAAGGTTAGCCATGAAAAGAAGATAATGACAGCGGTGCCAGTGAAGTCAATGTGACAGAAATATTTAATCCAGTTTACTACAGTGATGCATTACAGCAACTTCAGGTCAACATTAAAGAATATGCTAACAGAAACAATATGTTAATTACCGTAATTGTCG